GTCTCTATTCGCATACAAAACTCTTACTGAGAAGAATTCTTTATTTCTCTAACAATAAATTCTGTGCCGTAGGTACAAGAATGAACGGGGAGAAAAAGTGTTCCCCTTAATTGTAAAGAAAAAGCTTCACCTTAATTGAAATATTTGTTTGCTTAAATAAAATAGTATTTGTCTTAAATATTCGTTCTTTGAATACGATTAACGTTCTAATGATTGAAAAACAGTGAGGGATAATATTAAGTAAACACTCTCTAAAACGGAATAGTTGCCTTACAAACGGTTTAAATTTTCTTGAAAAAATAAAAGGGTTAATTTACCAAATGTACGAATAACTCAATAAGACTTTACAGTGAATATTGCAAGAAACTTTTATGTTGTGCGGTGTTATACATATTTATTTACCATGTGTATTGACCTACAACAACTTAATCGAATTACTGTATTAATATTTGATAACATATGTATGTATTCGCATTTCCTTTACTATTCTCAAATGCTCACTGATCGATGTGTAAGATAAATGAACAAGAACATTGCTAATATCTTCATACTAATAGAAAAGTAATCAGTATTTCTTAACTACGGAAAATAGCAGAATAATTAACGGAATTTTGTATTTTGAGGTTAATATCGCATGAACTATGGTGAGGAAAATTTGAAACTATTTACGAATGAGCTGAACACGGAGAAATTCTCCCGAATTTATAAGAATCATCTATTGGGGATTGGAATAAAAATTGTCTGTTGTACAGTATAATTGCTGTTTCCTGTTTCACATATTCATATTAGTTTATAATATATATTTATATATCTATTATAATCCATTTTAAAAGGGATAAAGCCTAAAATATTTATTAACATTAAGCGCAAAAACGTGAAAATAAAGGTCCTACCGATGTAATTAGCGATTCGGCTCACTTTATTTTTTGTAGGTTATTATACGTTATTTGAATCTGATATATTATAAACTTATGGAAAACTAATGCACTTTTTTTTATTATCAAGTAATTTT